CCCACCATGACACTTTTCTATTTTTCTAATGAACTTCCCAATCTCTTCCATCTGACCTCATCTCTCACATTGCTGCCCCATTTTTCTGGCCTGATTCAAGCATGGGGCTCATCTTTTCTTTTACTTCAGGGCCTAGGGAATGACTCCTCCCTGCCTTTCCCTGGCTATACCTCTCACACAGAGTCACACATAGGAGTTCTGTGACTCCAATTTTCATGGAGCTCCTATACCATGGGATAGAGTTAGGGCCTCTAGTCTTTGCCCCCCTGAGGCCCAGGGAGAGGGGTGATCACAGTGCCATGGTGTCCCAGGCTAGGCTCAGGGAAAAGAGGGGACCTCTGGCCTTTGTGTGACACTATATAGTACAGGGCCAACTAAGTCATTGCTTTTAAGAGATTTCAAGTAAATTCTTTTGAGCTAGGAACTCTTTCTTCACAGTTCAATGTAGGTCCATATCATTTCTCAGATATAAGTCCATTTCAATCCTCATTTCTACCTCCCTCCTATACACACACACACACACACACACACACACTCCTTAGTTGTCACTTCCTATCCCTCTTCGTCAGTTAACTTGATTTTGTAGTTTTCATTCAATGTTTACTAATTGTTGGAATCCTCCACACTACTTTTTCCATCTTTAGGGTAAATGCAAATCCACCATTCCTTAGGTAAAACTTTTTGGGCTAGCTGTGTTGAGGAATTCAGACTTTTTCAAATTTTTAAAGGATACTTTTTTATTTTTTTAAATTATGTTAGTCACCATACAACATTAGTTTTTGATGTAGTGTTCCACGATTCATTGTTTTTGTATAACACCCAGTGCTCCATGCAGTACGTTCCCTCCTTAATACCCATCACTGGGCTAACCCATCCCCCCACCCCCCTCACCTCTGAAACCCTCAGTTTGTTTCTCGGAGTCCATAGTCTCTCACGGTTCGTCTCCCCCTCTGATTTCCCCCCCTTCATTTTTCCCTTCCTTCTTCTAATGTCCTCCATGCTATTCCTTATATTCCACATATGAGTGAAACCATACAATAATTGTCTTTCTCTTCTTGACTTATTTCACTTAGCATAATCCCCTCCAGTTCCACCCATGTCGATGCAAATGGTGGGTATTCATCCTTTCTGATGGCTGAATAATATTCCATTGTATATATGGACCACATCTTCTTTATCCATTCATCTGTCGAAGGGCATCTCAGCTCTTTTCACAGTTTGGCTATTATGGCTTTGCTGCTATGAACATTGGGGTGCATGTGCCCCTTCTTCTCACTATATCTGTATCTTTGGGATAAATACCCAGTAGTGCAATTGCTGGGTCATAGGGTAGCTCTACTCTAGTGCAGGGGTGCCTAGGTGGGTCAGTCGGTTAAGGAACTGCCTCCAGCTCAGGTCATGATCCTAGGGTCCTGCCCTACATCCAGCCCCCTGCTTAGCAGGGAGTCTGCTTCTCCCTCTCCCTCAGCCTTCCACTCTCCCTGCTTGGGCTTGCTCTCCCGCTCTCTCTCTCTCTCTGTGTGTGTCAAATAAATAAATAAATAAATAAATAAATAAATAAATAAAAATCTGTTTTTTAAAAAAAGGATACTCTGGTGAATATACTGTAAATTTAGGCAATACCCAACAGGTTCAGTGGCTGCATATTTATTCATGCTAAGTGGAGATAAACCAAAACCATAAATAGCCTCACATCAGTATATGTGCTGCCGAAGCGAGCACAAATAGCCTCACATCAGTCTGGAATTGTTTTTTCCACCAAATGAGCTTGCTACAAACTTATGAGAACAACGACAACAAAATACTTTGTCTTGAAAGGTTTTCATATTTTAAAAGTGAGGATTAAGGATGGTAGATCTATATTATGTTGTGCAAATTCTAAAAATGATTAACAGAGGAATGGAGTATTTCAGAATTGGGGAGTTTGTAGTTAAAAATGGCCTATTTTTCTAATTTTGGAGACAGTACAGAGAAAATTTTGTAGGTAGTATAAAGAAAGATGGATTCACTCAAGTAAGCAGTTGAGAACAAGCCAGAAAAACAAAGCAAAATGAGTGTGTTGGGGGGGGGAGGGGGCACAGAGCAGCTAGGGTGGAAGTGGAGAAGGAAGGAAACTCAAATTAGAGGAAACAAAGATAAAGAAAAATATTGGCTGACTGGAAATAAAACTTATTAAAGGCAGGTTATAAAACTTGAAGAAAAAAGATTATAACTTTGAGGCATAGTCAAGAAATTTTCTTAAATGTTATTTTCAAATGTACATTTTAAACCCACGAACATAAATCCAGGTAAAAGAAAAATATCACAGTCCTGGTCATCCCTGTTAATCATCCCGGTTTTTAATTTTTCAGTGTTCCATTCGTTTTCAAAGAGAAGCGCTTTAGGCTTCTTTCTCCTTGGAAAGTTGGGAGACCAAAAAGCTTATGGGAAGTTAGAGTTTAAGGAGCTCAGAGTGGTCTAGGTATTCCTTTGTAAGGGCAGTACATATCATAACTGAGATGTAAGGGGGAAGTTGCCAACTTTCTAATTTCCAAATGTAAAAAAAAACGGGTTTTTATTTCACATTGGGTTGATTCTTATTCTCAAGGCATTTGATACTAACTGGATTGTTTCTTCCATTCAAAATGTTGCTTCGGTCAAAATGTGGTCAGCTCTATGGAAAGATGTGGTTACAAGGAAAGAAATGGTTATCAACAAAAAGTGTGAAATCCTACAGTGCCGAGGACAGTGTTTCCATAAAAAAAGAGGAGGAATTTCTTTCATTTTTCAGATCTGAACCACTATTTTGGGTTTCTACCAAATTTTCCAGATGGTGAAAGATCTGGGAACGTCCCCATCCCCAATGATCTATTCAATAAATTTCTTCTTTTATAGGAAAAATGAAAGTAGTCAAAGAGATACAATAGACAACCCGCCAAGCGCAAGCTGCACTAGTCAATTACAGAACCACAAAGTCAATTTCAAGGGGTGTTTATACCTCACAGATAGGAAAACAAACAAAAGAGTGAGTGAATCTCCTTAAGAACAAACGCTAGGTCATACTGGGCTGAATCTCAGCTTGGAGTGCACAGTAGGTGCTCAATAAATGTGTGTAGATTAATTACTTAAAAATATGCCACATTTCCTACGCCAGGCCCTGGACTAGGTCTTGCGGGGCACAAGAGTAAGTTAATGCCCTGGGAGGAATTCAGATCTAACCTGGCATGGTGCAAAGCCGAATGAATACAGGTTTAAATCAACGCGCTATCCAAGAACAGAGCCCCAGAGAAGCCAAGTAAGGTTTACTTCATATTTTGCAGGAGCTCTCATACCCATTTTAGCCCTTGCGTTCCCTGGATTGCCCTTTATAGGGGGCGCAAAAGGAGGCGAGCCCAGAGAACAGAAGCGGCAGCAGGATTGGGGGAAAGTTGGGAAATAGGAAAAACTGCGGGGTTCCTGGATCCGAGACTGAGTCCGTCCTGGGTTTGAAAAGAGGACTATGCCTTTTGTCACTCTTCTCCTTCCTCCAAATCCCCCGGGAGGAGGAATTGGCTGGTGGGGGCGGGCGGCGGGGAGGGTTTACATCAGAGAAACCCACAGAGAGTGCTGCTCTTTGCTAGAACGGCCACAGCCCAAGAAACCTATGATTCCACAGCTGACGCCTTCCAGAAAAGGACCCACCCAGGCTCGCTAAGAAAAGGAAACCCACGTGACAGCGGAGGGTGGGGGTGGGAAGCGAGGCGACCCCGGAGCGAGAGAGGCCAGAGGCGGGGCCGGAGGCCAAGCTGCTACAAGGAACTGCCCCGCGCAGCCCGTCCGGGGCGAAGGGCTCGTTCTGGGCTCCGCGCGTGCCGGACACTGTGGGAGACAACTCGTTCCGAGCGCGCCACGCACGGGGGTCAGAGAAGAGAGACCCGCTTCACGCACTGGCAAGGGGCGGGGCGGTGCTAGCCTCTAGCGCCGGGAGCCGGAGCTTGACACCGCCCGGGTGCGGACCCACCGCCCCTCCCCGCTCGGCACCGCCTCCCGCAGCCCGGGGAGGGGCCGGGGCGGAGCTAGCCTGGCCGCGCCGGGGCGGAGCGGGCGCTGGCAGAGCGCGGCGCGGGGCTGGCAGCGAAGGTCCGCGGCGGGATAGGCGTCGCTGCGGCTGCCGAAGATTCCCCCCCCGCCTCCCGCCACCCCGGCCGGTCGTCCCCGCAGACCTACCTTCGCGGCGCGCGGCGGCTCCGCTGCTTCCCTCCAAAGGAGGTCCGGCTCCCCGCTCTCCGGACCCGCCTGGCGACCTCGCCTCCGGCGGGGCGGGCGGCTGCGGCGCCCGGGGCATGGCTTCGGCGGGCAGCGGCATGGAGGAGGTGCGCGTGTCGGTGCTGACCCCGCTGAAGCTGGTCGGGCTGGTGTGCATCTTCCTGGCGCTGTGTCTGGACCTGGGGGCCGTGCTGAGCCCGGCCTGGGTCACGGCCGACCACCAGTACTACCTGTCCCTGTGGGAGTCCTGCCGGAAACCCGCCAGCTTGGACAGCTGGCACTGCGATTCCACGCTCAGCAGCGGTGAGGGCCCGGCGCGCCGCGACCCCTGCCCCCCACCCCGGACTGCCCGGTGCGCCGCTGCCCGGACGGCCACCGCCTCTCTCCCCACCTTCTGTGTCCCCTACCCTCGTCCGCCCCGCTCCATCCTGGCCCTTCGCGGACCCTTGGGCTACAGCCGGCTCCCTGATAGCCAGCCCTCGTCTCTCCCCGGTCCTGGTCGCCAAACCCAATGCGACGTCCCGCGCCCTCTCCGTCCTCCCGTGGCCATTCCTCGGGCTCTGGAGTAACACGTATGCTGTTTGGGGTAACTGATATCCTTTGAGGCGAGAACCGTGGGGCTGTGTTAAAAATGCAACGCCTTCCCCACTCACGTTAAAGAAGAGACAGGCAAAACCGCCCCAACTCCACCAAGACGCCCTGGGTTCTCTGCTCGGTCTTCCCCACTCTCTTCTCCCTCCTCTCTCAAGGAGGAATTTGCCTGAGTTTACCTCTTGGTGCCCACGTTTCTGCCTGCTCTACTCCACTTTGTCTCGGTTTTCCCCAGGGAGTTTCGGTTTGGGTTTTATTTCCTTAAATTTTTGAGGGATCTGGAGAGTTGGAACAGAGACAGGCGTAATTTCCTTTCCTTTTTTGGTGACACGTCGTTGGTTGTGAGTTGCCCTTCTTTCTCTTCCTCTCCAAATACCTCCTCTCTCCTTCAGACCTTTCTTTTCTCCATGAGCTACTTACTCACAGATGCCTGGAAAGTTGTGGCTTATTCAGCTAGCACTGGAAGCTGCAAACGGATGGGGTCGAGGGTGGAGAAGAAGGTAGTCACTGGGGCTACCCAGCCCCAAGGGGGGGCTTTACTCTCTCCTTGACCCCCAGTTGCCTTCCCCTGAGCCCCAGTTAAGCCGTTAGCAGAAATCTGCCAATTTCCGATTTCTTGCAGTAAACCCTTTTCCTCGCTAATCTTGATTCTTCAGCTGCTGGTGTCAGTGCAGAGAAAGGGGAATAAAGGGAGAGGACCTGCCCGTGATTTTACACTTACCCACGCGTACCCCTAAGAAACTGATTAAATTCCTTCGTGACAGTTTGTCTTCTCTGGGACTATTTATGAAGCTTTACTGGAGACGTTTCAAGTTCCAAGAAAGTTGAAATAGCACAAATGCCACACAAACCTGATTTACTTTTGTCTTGGTTTCTTGTTTCAAGAAAGATTAGTTCACTTGGTTAAGTTTCTTTCATAAATTTGATTTTCTGTTTACAAAAGGCCTCTTCTTTGATTTTGCTTCAAAATTCCCATTGACGGGGTTTGTCTTTGTTGCTTAATTCACTGTGGAGGGGACTGGTTGGCAGCAGGAGGTCAACATTTAGGTCTTTTAATTCTTTCAGGGTTGGTTGTTTACAACTAAAGATAAAATAAATTGGTAAAATGCCTTTCTTCAGTAACCAGGGGATCCAAATAAACTTTGGAGAAAATATCTTTTCTTTCCCCTCTCCAATAGAAATGGAAATTTATGTAGGAATGCCAGCTTCAGCATGTCTCCTTAGCAACGGGGATCTTTTGCCCCTTTCTCCTGTCTCCTGAAATAATAGCCCCCTGATTGCATAAAGACTTTTCAGATAGGTTAGAGAAACCAGCCTCTACTCCTCTTTTCTTTTCAGACCCGTATCCTTTTCTCTTGGCCAGGAATGTGGGGAATGGGGAGAAGCCAACCCGAGTTTGTAGAGCAGTATGCCGTGTTTGCTAATCTCTCCGTAATTGCCTCCATACCCATTTATCTCAGCTCCCCCCCCCCCAACCCCGGCAAGGAAATAGGGAGACTCAAAGCTTCATGCAAATGTAGTGATAAGAGGTCTCGTCGTGGTAGAAATTGGAGGCAGGGACAGTTTGATTTTATTTCCCCCAAGCCCGTTAGCCTACCCTTCTGCTGAAACTCATAACCACAGCATTTATTTCTATTTGGGTTCCTGAAAATCAGCTTCAGTTCTATTTTGCTTAAGATAGTTTTCATCCCAGAAAAAGTGTAGTTGGTGAGCAAATGACGTGGGAGGCATAGAGATGGTTTTGTTTGAGGCTAACTGGAACAAGTTCTTGACTTTCTTTATGTAGTAGCAGTTCATTTTTCCTTTCCAAGGCGGTGGGTGGGGGGTGCAGGAGGAAAGGAAACAAAATATGGAAAATTGCTCTGTCTCCCCACTTGACAAAATGTGCTTTCTTTAAAATGTTCTGTGAACTTGAAGCTTCTATCCACAAATGTTTTGAAATGAAGAGGGAAGCTTGAATTGAAGCGAGCAATGCTTCTCTTGCCTGTTCCAGAGGGCAGGCAGCTTTTCTCAGTCTGTTTGCTGTGTGGAGTAGCAGAAAGCAGAGAGGGAAATGTCTTCTCTGAAGATTTTAAGAGATCCACTTCATTGTCTCTTGAAATGAATTACCTCGGGAGGAGCCACCAAGGACAGTTTTACTGAAGGCCCTTCCCCAGGATCTTCGGGGCTTAATTAAAAACCTTTGTCTTAATTAGAATTAAAACTGCTATGAAGAGATGAGCTTGTATTTACAGAAAGGAAATTTCAGGAATGTTTCTACTGACGACAGTATGTCCTAATTAGGCCCAGTTCCTACGGAAACTTTCCCCTCAGCCATTATTTTTAAAGCTGCATTTTAATTTTGGTACCAAATATGCGTTGTTTGCTGCTTATAATCTGTTTTATGGTTTTAAGCGAAAGCAGAACCATGCCTTTTGTGTCCTGGTGTATTGAAGGTTGCGTCAGCACTTCTAGTACGAACCAGTAATCCGGGTGTCAGTCAACTGTAATGCTTTTCTCTGGTGTCCCAATTCAGTGTAGGGGGACAGTCCAGGCATTCATCTAAAGCTATAAGTTTTCCAAAAAGACAAATGAGAAAAACGGCCATAGACTGTCATTCGCATTGGAAACAAAATAATAATGATAATAAAGTATGCTTGTTAGGAAGTTTTGAATAGGTGGTGCTCCCATGGCTGCCGGCCACAGAATTTCTAAGGATAGTTTCCCCACTACTGATTTGCGCAGACTCTTAATAAATCTTTAATCAGCTTATTTTAAATGGTAGTTGTGTTTTTGGCTTTTGCTTAGTCACATTTAGTTTTGATAACTTTTGTTTAGCATATAGTTGTTAGGATTTCATAGCCATTGCAAAAGAGTCCTTAGTGCAAATAGGATTGCTCAATGGATGGAGAATGCTGATGCCCTAAACTTGACATAAAATGTGCTGTATAACCTCTAGGGTGGCTTTAAAATTTATAAATATGTAGCTGTTTCATATAAGGCAGATTCCTTTTTTGACATCCATGTGATTTATTGACCGAGCAAAAAGCAAGGACATGCAGATAGCCAAACGAATGCGTTTTACTAAGAGTAATTTTAGGATATAACAAGTGCATTTATCCATCTTTCCATCTACAGAATCTATGCATCTTTTCTATCCATGAAATACTTGATCAAATAGTGCCTTTTTCAAGGAATATTGTTAACATCATTCGTGCACTGTCCTAAAAATAGCTTCATTTGTAACATGAGTCACTGGCAGTTTTGAAATGGCAGTGCGCACCGTATGCTAATAACAGGTGAATATTATTATTTTCAGTTGACAAGAGGTTCTCTTAAGAGTGCTTTCTATGTAGCTCATTTTCCTAAAACTAGTAGAAAATTCCACTTTAACAGTTTTTGTAAGAAAACCCACCTTGGGTCGTAGTTTAAGATAAACCAAACTGCTTAAACAACTGCAAATCTTAGAAAATCTGAGGTTTAGTGATTCTGAATTCAGGTGTATGTCCTCCGTGCATAATTTGAATCCATACCTTCATAGGGAAACAGAATTGCATTGGGAAACCTCACAGTGTGATTTACTCCAGGAAAGGTTCAGCTTCTTGCTCGAAATCAGTTGATACTGATGCGTGTTTACAAATAGTTCTGCAGGCCTGGAGGTCAGACAGTTAGACCCTCCTCTGGCTTCCTGAAAAAGGACTTAAGTAGAACAAATGCAGTTTTATTTAACCTACACAGCATAGGTGGGTGGAAAATTATACAAAGAGTGGCAGTCAGCACCAAAACTTTCTCAATAAGTTGGAGAAAACCAAGTATAACTTATTTCACGATCTTTTCTTTTACCATCTCCTAAGATTTTCAAGCTCCCAAGATTGACTTTTACAAAGGATGTTTTAATTTGTGGGCAGATATAATTCCTCTTTAGCTCACATTTATAGAATGATTGTAATTTCCAGGGAACCATTTAGATCAGTCTTTGTCAGCAAAGGGATTTGATGGGTGTGTGAGAATCCTGGCCTTTCATAAAACATTTCACAATAAAACCAAAGCAAACAAAAGCATATCTTAGGCAATAGATTTTGCCTGCTGTCAGGAATATATTTTAGGAATTTCTTTCAAGTTTCTGTTAATGGTAAGACTACTTAGTGGGACCAAAGGTACATCCAGTACTACTAGATGTATTAGTGAAAAGGATTGTAGATGCTTCAAAATAAGTCCCTGGAATACACTATCTAAATACCACAGTAAATTTCTATATGAACTATGCTAAATTATAATATAATCCTGTAGGAGGGCAGAGTAGTGTTGAGAATACAGGAGGCTTTAGATTCAAATTGCCCTGAACTTGGCCACTTACCATTCATGTGACCTCATACAATTTAATGGCTTCAAATGGTTTGTCATTAAAATTAAATATATAAAAGTACCTGCTCATTAGGGTTGTTTCCTTATATTCCTCTTCCTTATTATATATGCAGAAAAACAAGCCCAAAGTGATTTTTTTTTGGATAATTGAGGACTCCCCCCACCACCCTTAAAAGGTAAACTCTTTGCATTGAATAATGAAGTATGCTGTGAGTTTCAAATTTAAATTTTGCTATGTATTACCAAGCATTTAACTATACTCTTGGTAGATCAGGATCACAAAACTATTATCTAATAGCTACCCTTTTGTTAGTACTATTACAGGGCAGACATCTCCATTATTCCCAATGTCACAGTAAACTTGCAAGGTAGCTAATGTTATCCCTATATGTTACTGAAGAGACCAGGCGGTTTTTAAGTTTGCCAGGTTTTCAGTCGGTGGTAGAGACATTTTTTCCAGGAGAGTACCAGTTAGTAATGCTGGGAAACAAACCACTTCAAAAGTTAGTGGTACAAAACAACAATCATTTTATTATGCTCATGACTTCTGTGGGTCAAGAATTCAGATAGGGCATAATGAGGATGGTTTATCTGGGGCTCCAGGATGTCTGAGGGTGACTTGAATGGCTGGGGACTGGAACATCTGGAACTGCAGGATCTTCCAAATGGTTTCACTGGGTTTGGCACCTTGGTGGAAATGGCTGGGAGACTGGAGTCCACTGGGACTGGCCTTACTGGCATGGTGGTCCCAGGGTAGTCGAACTTATTACAGGATAAGTGGTTTTTCCCAGAAAGAAGGTCGTAAGAGAACCAGTCTCTGTCTTAACTAGCCTGGAAAATAACAGAGGAGCCATATGGAAGCCCAGATTCCAGGGAAGGAATTTGGACTCCACCTCTTGATGGAGTAACAGCAAGGTCCCATTATAAAAGAACATGTAAGATGGGAGATGCTGTTGGGCCACTTTTGAGGCATAGAGTCTGACACTGGAGTCTAGCT